TTCAATACGTATTGAAAAAGAAATGAATATGAAAGGTACTTAACTTATACTTAATCTATTAAGTACTTATTAAAAAGCAGTGATAAGGATAAATTTGAAAAAAAAAATATTAATTATGCTTTGGTTTCATAAAATGATAAATATTGTGAAACAAAAAAAATTGGGTAAAACGATAGATATTTAGGAACGAAAGGGTGTACAACCAGAGATGTCAAACATGTCGGGTTAAACAATTACATATAGAGTTAAACAAATATCGGATGAAAAATATGTAAACTCATACACGACATGTTTAATAAACAAGTGAAAAACTCAATACGAACACGAACCGTTTAATAAACGGGTAACACGACATGATTCGTTTAATCTCCTTAGTTTTAATTTATTATTATTTTATTATTATATTTTTGTGGTTGTTACTATATTAAAAAAATAAATAAATAAATTTTGTGGTTATCACTAAAAATAATATATATATATATATATATATATATATATATATATATATATATAATTTTTTAAAAAAAAAATCTAAAAAATTAAGAAATAAAAAAATAAAAAATTTAAATTAAAAAAAAATATTTTTTTCATCTTAACTAAGAGTGAAAATTTTCGACTCAACATAATGACATGACTCGAACTCGATACGAAAATATACAGGTCAACTTGAAACTTGACACGACACAATTAGTTAAATGAGTTAAGTTAGGTTTGACTAATATTCGACACAAACTTGTAATAATTCAACACGAATCTGACATGACATGACTCGATTGTCACCCCTGATCTTAACCAGCACAAAAAAATGAAAATAATCATATTTATTTTCCATCCATCCAATCAAACACAAAGGAAGAAAAATGTATTCTTCCTATTTTCCATCCTTGAAGGATAAAAAATGTATTCCTCCTACTTTCCATCATTGAAGGATAAAAAATGTATTTCTCCTACTTTCTATCCTTCCTACTTTTCATTCTCCCTATCAAACGGAGCATTAGTGTTGGTGTAAATGCAATAAATTGAAAAGTAAAGTATAAAAATAAAATTTGATACAAAACAATTCAAATTGAGACGCGAGTATTTCACTCCCTTAAAGGAGATTCAAGTCCTCTGTAGATGACAAAGTCCAAAATCCGATGCAGAAAACATTCTCATATGACTTGTCTCCTCTTGGATACAACGGCCCGATAGTTTCGTCGTATGAATTTAACCAACTCTGAATAAGTGGTTAAATCTAAAACTCCACTATAAAAACACCTTTACTTGGCTTCAACCCTCAAGCGTGTGTGTAGTATTGTTCAAGTGTTGAATGGTTGTTCAAAGGCTTCAAATGCACATTTTAGAGGTCCTTTTTTATAGGCTTTAAGAACTTTCTAGAGTTCATTTATGTAACTCATTCATGTATACATAATATACATGTATCTAACTTATACATGTATCTAATAAATAAGATTCATGTATACAACTCATATATGTATACATAATATATATGTATCTAACTTATACATGATTCATGTATTGAAAATGATGAATACATGCATTAGATAATATTCATGTACATATACATAGTTATACATCTATATAATAATATGATCTATATAATACATTATATATAAAGATTCATATATTGCACATTATACGTTAGTACAATGAATTATATACAATATTACACACTAGTACAATGAATTATATATAATAAAATATTTATAATATTAAAATTTACCAACATTCCCCCACTCATTTTAATATTAAAAATGCATGATGCAAGAGAGTTGATCAGCCAAAGAGAGATCATTATGCATAATGAAAGTGTACTCTGCATTGAACCTTGATTTAGGGAAGAAGTAACCTCTACTCCAGAGTCATTCATTAGCAAGAGTATTCATTCTCTTAATTGTTTAGTAACCTTTTTATCCATTTTATTGTATGTTTCAGGATCTCCAGACGAAGACAAAGATTGGTATGAGGCATGAAGTCAATAGTCTCTATTACTTAGACCTTGATTCACCCACTTGGGCCCATTAGACCTCGTCATCTCCCTTTCAATGATATTGTCGTCTTAGTTATCATTCTCTCCAGAATTTGAAGTGTTAAGTTCCCAACATTAGTTATGTGACATTTGTGTCTTATGAAGTTTGTCAATTTAGTAAGCAACACCGTGTCTTTTTAGTAACAAGTCAATAACCATATGTCTATTCCATTTGAGTTTGTGCATTGGGATGTATATGGTTCAATAAAAACTATTTTATCTAATAAATATCCTTATTTTGTGTTATTTGTGGATGATTATTCTTGTGTGAATTGGTTATTTCTTATGAAAGCTCATTCTGACTTATTTTTTATATTTGAAACCTTTTGTAAAAAAATTAAAATCCAATATGGTTGTCGTGTTCGTATTTTACGTTCTAATAATATTCGTGAATATGAATCTAATCATTTTTCAATTTGTCTTTGTAAAACTGATATTATTCATCAAACTTCCTATGTTACACATCTTAGCAAAATGGTATCGCTGAGCGAAACCGTAATCTATTGGAAGTTATCCGCGCATTATTATTCCAGATGAATGTTCCTCATTGTTTTTGGAGTAATGTTGTTCTCATTACTTGTCACATTATTAATCGTATGTCTTCTGTGTTAAATGGGCATAGTCCATGTCATGTCATTTTTCCTGATACTCTATTATTTTTCTTAACTTCTATGGTTTTTGAGTGTGTCTATTATGTTCATAACTTGAGACCCAAGTTTGATAAACTTAATCCTCGTACTACCAAATAAGTCTTCCTTAGATACTCCCACACACAGAAGGGGGTATCGATGTTATAGTCTTACCCTTCGTCGATATTTCACTAGTGCTTATGTCAGTTTTAGTGAATCTGTTATGTATTTTCCGGAACTTACTTAGTCTTTGGATCTTGACTTTGGGTCGTCCACTACAACATAACCTCTTACCTGACCATCAGTTATCACACTGCCTACTGTGCTACCACCTACAACCCTACTTCTCGTATACTCGCATCATCCGCAATCATCGATTGAGGTGCCCCTCCTGTCTTTCTTGCTATCTCATGATCTTGGTCCTTCAGGTACTTTTGATTCTTTACCTATAGCTCTTTGGAAAGGTACTTGATCATGTGTTACTAACTATTCCACTTCTAATTTTGTTTCTTATGATGCATTATCTCATTTATTCTCTTGTTTTACCTCTCAACTGTCTACTATCTCTATTCCTAAGCACTTACAGGGTGTGTTGTTTGATCCGGATTGGAGGAAAGCTATGAAAGTGGAAATAAATGTCTTACATCATAATGAGACTTGAGATCTTCTTCCTTTACCACCTAGTAAATGGACTGTTGGTTGTCGATGGGTATACAGTGTTAAATTTAATCCTGATAGTTTTGTTGAGCATCTCAAAGCCCATCTTATTGCTAAGGGTTTTACTCAAACCTATGGTGTTGATTATAATGATACTTTTTCTCCTATTGCAAAAATCTCCTCTGCTCGTATATTGATTATAGTGCACCATAATCCATCAACAATTTTTGGGTCAGACCCATAGAAACATCAATTGGTTGTCGATGGGTATACGCTATTAAATTTAAGCCTGATAGTTTTGTTGAGCATCTCAAAGCCCATCTTATTGCTAAGGGCTTTACTCAAACCTATGATGTTGATTATACTGACACTTTTTCTCCTATTGCAAAAATCTCCTTTGCTCGAATATTGATTTCTTTGGTTGCTAATCTTGGTTGGGCATTATTTTAGTTAGATGTTAAGAATTCTTTTTACATGGTGACTTGACTGAAGAGGTTTACATGGAGTAGTCACCTAGATTTATTGCTCAAGAGGAGTATTGTAAGAGTATGTGTTGGTTAAAGAAATCTCTATATGGGTTGAAGTGGTCACTGATGGCATAGTTTGGTAAGTTTTTCAATGTAATTTTAGAGTTTAGTCCTCTTCAATGTCAGACAGGACAAATACAGGCCACTCTGTGTTCCATGGACAAGCTGATGCTAGATGTATTCTATTGATTGTTTATATAAATTATATTGTAATTACTGGGAATGATTATGATGATATTGTCAAGTTAAAAACCTTCATGTAGGACCAATTTCACACTAACGACCTAGGAAAACTTAGGAATTTCTTGACTATTGAGGTTGTTAGATCTAAACAACAAATTTGTTTATCTCAGAAGAAATATGTACTTAACATGTTAGAAGAAACATGTTTGTTGGGCGACAGACCAATTGATGTTTCTATGGGTCTGACCCAAAATTTATTGATGGATTATGGTGCACTATTTGAGAATCCGAGTTAGTATCGTAAGTTAGTTGGGAAGCTCAATTATCTTATTATTACCTGATTGAATATTGACTATGCAACTAGTGTAGTAAATCAGTTTATAAGATGTCCAAGAGAACCACATTGGGAGGCAGTCAATCACATTCTTAGATACCTCAAACATGTTTCTAGTCTTGAATTGTTGTATTGAGCTAATGAACATCTTAGAGTAAAATGTTTTTCAGATGCTGTTTGGACTGGTTCTCCCTCAGATCGGAGATCAACCACTAGTTATTGTACTTTTCTGAGAGCTAACGTTGTCATATAGAAAAGTAAAAAATAAACAGTGGTAGCAAAATCCAACCCTGAGGCTGAGTATAGAACAATATTATATACAACTAATGAGTTGACATGATTACTACATTTTCTTCAAAAAATTGACTTTTCAGTTCAACCTCATTTATAATTGTTCTATGATAATCAGACAGCTATTCACATTACTACCAATCTAGTATTTCATGAGAAGACCAAACATGTTGAAGTTAATTATCACTTTATTCAAGACGAGATAATGCTAGAGATATTGTAACTCCGTTTATTAGATCTGAAGATCAATTTGTAGATATGTTTACTAAAACATTGAATTGTCCTCGTCTTACAGCCATCTGTTTCAAACTTGAATTATATGATATATATAATCCAGTTTGAGAGAAAGTGTTGAGAGTATTATTATGTAATTAGTTTAATATAGTTGTAATAAGTATCCCACATAAAAAGTATACTCGTACTTTGTATGTTTACAAGGTAACTTAAGAGAGAGGGTAAGTTTTGGCTACTCCCCGTCTTTCTTTAATATTGTGTTAACTCTCTAAACTTAACATATACAAACGATGGAAAAAAAAGAAACTATATACACATTAAATGCAAAGAAAGTATAGTTAGTTCCCTTTCTTCTTGGCTTAGGAGCAGTTCCCTATCACATGATGATGGTATCGGACTTTGGTGGTCGATCACAATTTGCAGGGGTCCATCCTATTACTTGCTTTTCATTGTCATAAATCACAATCTTATCTTGCATTGAGATATCTACAAAGCCAAAAGCAGAAAATTGTAAAAAAGAACGAAAAGTTGAGGGATTCATGATATATATTTGCTTGTTTATGTTGGATATTGTACCTCCAACGACGTTGAAATTCGGCAATCCTACTTGAGTACCATTTAGAATTCCCAAGCACACATTGCCCTTTGACTGCATGAAAAATATTTTGAGTGTGCAAGTCAAGGTGTTTCAATTAGTTTTGAGTGGGATAAGAATCTTACCGAGATGATAAGATATGACTCGGGAGGGATGTCGAATTGTGATTTAGCTCTCCAACCATTTGGGAAGCTCAATGCTATAGGCTTAAAGTATTTCTTCACATCGCGTATTCTTTTAAAGGGTTTTTTGCCTTTCAAGCAGAATGGGAGGGTATCGTCATCCAATGCTTCTGTTAACGGCTTCCCACTCAATTCTTTATTCATCTGAAAGCATAAATGGAATTAGTTGCAAAGAAAACATTCAAGAATTCTTCGAAGCCATAAATAATCTGTGAAGTGAAAAGGTCAAAGACTCCGTGTTGGCAACAATTCACATGGAATCTGATCACAAGGGAAAAAGAATGCAACAACCAAGTAACAATCAGAGTGACAAATGTCTGAAAAAGTGAAATTTGAAGGGCAACAGGGATATTTAGCAGGATATCAGAAATTATATGAGTATTCTTTGAGTAATCCAAAATTACTGAGAAAATAACAACCAATCTTCAAAAAATAATCACCAGCAATGAGAAAGTCATGCAGACACCTCCAATGGAGTCAACAGCTATGTGATTGTGCCACAGAGAAGTTAGAGAACTTCCAAATGATCCGGGAAAGAAAAGGAAAAGTTTTAAACTCACCCAAGAAAGTAAAGCTTGATAACTCTCAGAATTGAGGTAAGTATAGGTACTCCCACTGTCAAAAACTACACAAAGGTTCTTAAACCCTGTACTTTTTCCACCAAAGATGAGTTCCGCGGACCCTGGTGAATAGCGCTTGCTGTCATAAATCATCAAAAGCGAAAATATTAGATACAAATTTAGTGATACAGAATGAAGATTGAAGACTGAAAAATCAAGACTCAGGAGGAGAAGGATGGGAGTGTGTGTGTTATTTTTTTTATTTTTTATTTTTTTTTGGGGGGGGGGAGGGGGTTTCCAAGAACTGGGCATTACGAGTGATCACGTGACATTGGTGTCCAAATCACATGTGAAGAATCATAAACATCATCCCCAAAGAACAGAAAACCTCCTCCTCGCCCACTTAAACAGTGGCCAACAACATGTCGGACCAGCCTTTGATCACGAAGCTGCGATATAATGCTGGATTTCCCCTTGCCAAGGCCAAGCACTCCATCTATGGGATGATATGATGCACTAGGGGTCTGATCATATCCACACCTGTAGACAAGAGGATCAAACAACTATATTATGCAGGAAAGCATAAGTTCATAATCAGCACTCTAAATTCAAGTTTATCCCATCAGTAGACCACACCTAATTAGCATCAGGGTAATTAGATAAGCTTTGACTATTTAACTGTCGGTTATTCCAAAGGCTTCTGTTTTGAATGTAAAACATGGGTTGTCGTCTAATATTTCTAACTGTGGTTCCATAATGTTTCCCCAATATGGCTGCCAAAAATCACAGAAAAACCTGCAAAAATGGATTATTTAGGATAAATGGAAAACTTTATCTCTAACATTTTGAATCCACTTTAGATTTGTGTCCAGGTCACTGTGATTTATTATGGGGCACACCAACCAATTTCCTTCTTGTTACAATTTATGAAGGAAAGACGCCGAAAGAAGCAATACCTGCCCTGGATGAAGTTGGAAAGAGCTGTTACAAAGAACCAGAGGAAAGGGCTAAATAATGAAAAGAATAGAAAAGTTTCCCAGTCAGGAGTACACCATACTGAGTCCCATACCAATTTATAGATTTTTTTTTAGTTAAAAAGAGGCATACAAAAGAAAAAAACATGCAATTTCTTATTACACTCCTTCCTTCAATTTTACTTATGTAAAAATGACACGTGATGGACGAAACAAGCTCATTTAAAAGAACCAAAGATAATTTTTTTTGCCTCTTTGGGGGTTTTTAATTTCCAAGGTAACACTTGAAAGTTTCTATATAATCAGTATTAGTGCTTGGGATTAGCTGAAAACAATTTCGATCAACAAAGTAAGCAATATTACCAACCCGAGAGATAGACGAGGACTAAGCCGTATTCCACTAGTGAGATTGAGGAGAAGCACATCTTTGACAAGGACACCAATGGATGAACCACCATCAGCATACTCTACCTCATAGTCACATTGCTCTGGGTTGTCGCATTTGTGATCACCGGGGTGTAAGGAAGCACAAAGGGGATCTTTACAGATCACCAGGTCTTTGTTGGGTTTGTAAAGGGGGTGAGGTGCCTACAAGAGAAAAATAGGATCAAATAGTCATCTCTAAATATTACAGTGCTTCACACATAAAGCACAACTTGTGCATTATAATTCATATGATGTAAATTACAGAAGATGTTACTCTGGAAACAACAAGAATCATGCATAAAGGAATTCCTCTTATTGTTTCAGCGGCATCTATGTTGAAAGTAATCGGAAAAAAAAATGACACTATTCTGCGATGATATCACAAAAACTTTTTCAAATTCTTCAAGTGAATTATTTGATATTTGAACAATAAGAGCACGAATTTTCATTTGAGCACTAGGTTGATCATATAAGAATGGGTTCGGAACACACCAACAATGCAGTTGGAGACCAATATTGACCCAAAAGCTTAAGCTCTCCACTAGACTCGACAGTCCCCATCAGGGACGGATCCAAGAATTAGGCGTGGCAGTCTAGAAATCCTTTGAAATAATCTTCGGAGGGACAAAGGTGAAGTTAGAAAAACAAAAAAAGAATAGTTTGGGAGACGAATTCTATATAATTATGAGCCATTTAAGAAATACTGTGCAATTTTAAAAAACTTTCAAATCTTTAGATGTGATCCTGGGTCCGTAGTTGAGTTTTGTTAAATATCTGAGCAGGTTGAACTCAGGTCAAACTCAACTCGATTTTAGCTTATTCAAATAATAAAAAAGACGGAATCTCATAGAATTTTCAAACTCGATTACTAAACGAGCCAAAGCTAAGTAATGTGTGGCTCTGCTCGCCCAAATAGCTTTTGGTTTATAAATAATTCTTATTTTATTCCTAAATAACCACTTTCCGAAAAATGAATAACCCTAAATTTGTTCCCAATAAACTAGAGATCATATGCATTTCTACTTCCCTCCCTTCCCTAATTGATTTTTTTGAAAATTTGAATTTCTAGTTTTTGATTTATTGTTGATTGTATAAATTTTGAAGGATTTTGGTTAAAAAATCGATGATTTTAGAATTGATTATTAAGTTCTAGTGTTTAGTTTTCAAAAATTTATGTTGAGAAATTTAGTTTGATTCAATTTGAGTTTAGTTTGAAAGCTCGTGCATCAAGCTCATTGAACTCTAGCTACAGTTCACCCAATCACAACCAATTCAGCTCAACCAATCACAACCAAGTCAAGTCTGAATACACTCAAATTCTACTAGCTTGACATCCAAAACAATAGATAGCGACATTAATACCATTTTGTTATGAGACCAAGGAGATACCAATGCTAAATATACAAGTGAATACCAAAACTTGACCAAAGAAACTTACACCATTCTAGTATTATGTAATAATTTTACAAATTAACTTCTCCAACAGGGTATAACGGTGCCCATTCACCTGTGACTCTAACAAGGAACAATGTTCAAAACGGTGTCAGATACATTACCGGTGTGCAGTGCACGCAAGGAGCATCGCATTGAAGCCATGTGAGATCACTGCCAGTATCAGGATCAAGGAAATAGGGCTTTGGTGGTTGTCCTATGTTGAGTTGAACATAATAAAACCTGCGCAACACAACTGATAATTTCACAGAAACATTCAACATGTAATTCCATGAACTTGCAGATTTGGCAAAGCAAACATTTTGCAAGAAATGCTAAGAAAAATTCAATTTCCATTATCTATAGGGCATAATGTTCTTTTAATTAACTTATAATTTGATAAAAGGGGAAATTACACTTATATCCCTGAACTATACCCTTTTGTTTCATATTATCCCTAAACTATCCACTTTATCAAATTGCACCTTGAACTATATGTCCAGTTTTTCAAGGCAAATCAGGCAAAAATGAAATTCTGCCCAGCTGAGGGGGGAAACATCAAATCCTCTAACATTGTGGAATTCCATTTTTGCCCTGATCCACTGTGAAAATTCGAAAAAAAGTCAACAATTGGGCAATTTGAAACTCAAAACTATTCTGACCCAAAAAAAAAAAAACTCAAAACTACAATTTAAGGTGAAATGTGAAACCTGANTAAATTTGTTCCCAATAAACTAGAGATCATATGCATTTCTACTTCCCTCCCTTCCCTAATTGATTTTTTTGAAAATTTGAATTTCTAGTTTTTGATTTATTGTTGATTGTATAAATTTTGAAGGATTTTGGTTAAAAAATCGATGATTTTAGAATTGATTATTAAGTTCTAGTGTTTAGTTTTCAAAAATTTATGTTGAGAAATTTAGTTTGATTCAATTTGAGTTTAGTTTGAAAGCTCGTGCATCAAGCTCATTGAACTCTAGCTACAGTTCACCCAATCACAACCAATTCAGCTCAACCAATCACAACCAAGTCAAGTCTGAATACACTCAAATTCTACTAGCTTGACATCCAAAACAATAGATAGCGACATTAATACCATTTTGTTATGAGACCAAGGAGATACCAATGCTAAATATACAAGTGAATACCAAAACTTGACCAAAGAAACTTACACCATTCTAGTATTATGTAATAATTTTACAAATTAACTTCTCCAACAGGGTATAACGGTGCCCATTCACCTGTGACTCTAACAAGGAACAATGTTCAAAACGGTGTCAGATACATTACCGGTGTGCAGTGCACGCAAGGAGCATCGCATTGAAGCCATGTGAGATCACTGCCAGTATCAGGATCAAGGAAATAGGGCTTTGGTGGTTGTCCTATGTTGAGTTGAACATAATAAAACCTGCGCAACACAACTGATAATTTCACAGAAACATTCAACATGTAATTCCATGAACTTGCAGATTTGGCAAAGCAAACATTTTGCAAGAAATGCTAAGAAAAATTCAATTTCCATTATCTATAGGGCATAATGTTCTTTTAATTAACTTATAATTTGATAAAAGGGGAAATTACACTTATATCCCTGAACTATACCCTTTTGTTTCATATTATCCCTAAACTATCCACTTTATCAAATTGCACCTTGAACTATATGTCCAGTTTTTCAAGGCAAATCAGGCAAAAATGAAATTCTGCCCAGCTGAGGGGGGAAACATCAAATCCTCTAACATTGTGGAATTCCATTTTTGCCCTGATCCACTGTGAAAATTCGAAAAAAAGTCAACAATTGGGCAATTTGAAACTCAAAACTATTCTGACCCAAAAAAAAAAAAACTCAAAACTACAATTTAAGGTGAAATGTGAAACCTGATAGTTAAGATGACAATGTGAAACAAAAAGAATAGTTAAAGGGATCTAAGGGTAATTTGTCCTTACTTTGATGAAAATAGAACCCACCTGAAATTTAAGAATTGTGGAAGTGAAGCTACCACTTTATACAACTAAACCTTTTGGGAATTCCATACAAACAGATATAGAATTACTTTACAATCCTTTTTGATTTGTGCCATTACCCAACTATATTGAAGACACAAAAATTAACAACCTCATTTACTATCTGTTTAATCCATGTATTTACACAAGCAGAGATGACATACCCATTAGGATAGACATTGCCAGAGAGTGGGAATACGACAGAGGAGCCAACTGGATTGACCTCCGATGATGTACCTCCTGAAAACATCCATTTCCACCATTTTTGCTGCTGAGAATCCGAAGCTGATGATGACAGAGACAGACCCAAAACAACTAACACCATAGCCAACATCTTTCCCTCTCTCATCTCTCTCTCTCGATCTGTAAGTTTAACCCAGAAAATTGAAACTCAGAACGAACTAAATTTTTGGCTGGCTTATCAGTGTTTCTAAAAGTCTGCAAAGACACAAAGACTTCTCAGTTTGTATTGAATGATTATGACAGATGGCCGTTTGTGGCTTCCTCGAATGGGCTATTAATTTTTGTCTCCGTCCTCTATATATTCCAATTCAAATAGCCTTAGTAATTTTTGTATTCCTTTTAAGAGTCTTTACTTGTGAATTAAGCATTAAAAGAGGTATTGCTTTGATTCATTCACTTCCTTTTATCCCTTTTTGCTTTGGTTTTAAAGGACATTTTGAACTTAAAAATATGTGATTTCTTGTTAATGTATGTTATGCTTTCTTTATTCCTTTCCTCCTCTGCATGGGAGGATTGTGTTGGTGGACATGCAAACAGTACCAATCACGATAGAATGCATAGCAAACGGAAAGGACCCTTGACATAAAAAGGAGCTCCGGGCTAGATTTGTGCACTCATGGTATTCGTGTATAAATAAAAAAATGGTACAAATTAATCAAAAGTCCAATCAAATTATTTTTTAAAGTCTTTAAAATCAAGTATTGTCCTTGTAAGACTTTAACAACATGTGAGATATTCAGTTTTATTTTTATTTCTTAGTCCAATTTAATTTTTTTAATGACCAGCGTTTGCTTATTGACTCACGTTAATTTTATTCTTTTTAAATTTTTTTCTCTCTCTTGCCCCTTTGTTCTCTCCCCTCTGGGGAGTAAATATTCAATTAAAAGATTTAAAATAAGTAAAATAAACATCACTATTTTCATAATTATTAATAACCACTACATTCAATCAACAACATATAAAATTAATGGGATTTATTTTGCTCATTTGTTGTTTTTTAATTGAACGGTGATACTACGCGAGGGTGATAAGACGTTGTCAATATTGCAATAAATATTTTCTCTTTCTGGCCCACAAGAAAGTCCTTGAGACCAACCCATAGCCACAAATATCGCCTCCATAGCAACCATCGAGAACAACAAACCTGCCGTCGACAATAGCAACTAGCAACGCCGAATAATAATACTATGCGTGCACGATCCTGCATAATATAAACACGAGAACAGATCTCTTCTGTGGTGAATACGAGTCCATCAATCGAGTGGTCAATCTTACTACTTGGAACAGGTTGTGAGAGCCGAAAGTGGCCTACGAAGTGGTGACGAATTGTTGTTAGGGTTTGCCTGAATGATCCTGGGAGGCTAAGGGAGGTTCCTAAAACAGAGAAAAACAAGTTAGAAGGGCGTCGGAGTGTTTTTCGGCGTATCCCCTCCTACGATCAAGTCAGTTCTTTGAGGGAGGAGAAGAAGAAAATATTGTATGATGTTTGAGAAAGGATTTTTTTGCATACCTCTTTTATGTGTTTGTGAGGACTATTTATACCTTAAAAACTCATCATTGCTGACAGCGTAGCCAGTAGGTAATCATTGAAGATGGACAGTGCGCCACTAATTTCTATGAGTAATGTTCTCATTCTTAACTGCTCGGGATCTCGAGCAACTAATGTTTTCTCCTCGGTTTGCCAAACGTTTAATGACATTCTCTCGGCGGGGATGTATTAAATGTCCAGACATTGAAACATTTATTACCTTTCACTTCTAGGCTCTCATGCATTAAATGCTGTCTAATCAAGGGAAGGGTGCATTAAATACTTGCTTTCCCAAGTCGTGTATCAGCAAGGGCATTCTGGTTTTTTTGTCTCTGATCTGACACAATATGCTACGTGCTCATTCCTCTTTGGTTGAGCTTTCTGCTCTCTTGTGCCTCCTGACACAATTTGAGTAAGACGAGATAATGATGGCTAGTCTAGCCTAGCCTAGGTTAGTGATCTGTCCATCAATAGCCCCTACAGGAGCAGAAACGCCCATGTGGATAGATACACCTCGGTGCCGAGGGACTAGCATGATTAGGATCGATATACCCAAACTGCCGAAGAATACGTGTCAGTCTATGGTGGGTTGGGGATCCTTGATCTCTGTGAATAGCATCCTCGGGGCAGGGGGTTGGAAACCGACAAAGACGTGTCGGGATCAAAGCGGAGAGTCTCCATTGACGCCAAGTATACGTGTTGTCCTTTGGGAGTGTCTGAAAATGTTCTATCAACTGCCCCCCAACCTTCGATCTTCTGATGTCGAGGACACGCGTTGTAAGGAGATGAAGGGTTCTGACACTGCCCCAACCACCCCATAATTGTTTCTAGCCGTTTTTCGCTGTTTAGGAAGTCGTGCGCATTAAATGCGCTTATTCGTACTTCGTGCCCAATGATGGGGATGTGTACTATATAAACGGGATTTCTTTTTCTTTCCCACATTTTTACCATCTCAANCTTATTCGTACTTCGTGCCCAATGATGGGGATGTGTACTATATAAACGGGATTTCTTTCTCTTTCCCACATTTTTACCATCTCGAACTCTCAGAGAGCTTTCGCCTGAAACTTCGTCGGAGACCCCCTTTGTCATGTCGTCTACCAATCAGTCGTCACCGGAGTTTAAACCAGCAAACCCCCTCTTGCTTCTGAACCTTCTCTAGAAAGGAACCACTCCAAGTCCTTCAGAAACCTTCGTTTCGCATTCTGGTGAGTCCTTGCATCTTCCTTTTTTCCGTCCTTTTGGATTTTTGTTTTTCATTATTTGGTAACCGGAGGTGTTTCTGGTTGTCATCATGTGACCAACCCTCAGGAAACCCCTCAGGGATCTTCTTAGGAAAACTCTTTTTGCTGCCCCTTTACTTTTTATTTTAATTGGAGATGTCCCGACGTCGTCCTACCACCGAGGATCCCCAGGCTAGTTCCTCGAGGCCAGGGAAGTACAAAGTGAAGGGAGACCAGCAGATCAATAGGTTTAGGCCCCAATACCACATCTCCCAAAACGTAGGTATAGAAGGGTATGACCCAGTTTTACATACCCGTAATCTCGGGGCAGAGGATGAGATGCCCTTTTACACCAAAACAATCATAGAGGGTGGAATCAGGTTTCCTTTGCCTTCTCTACTCCTCCAGTTCCTCTCTCATTTTAACCTCTTCCCTAGGCAGTGTTGCCTTAATGTCTTTAGGATAATAATGGGGGTCCTAAAGCTTAATAACAGTCTCGGGGTAAACATTGGGCTCAACGATATCCTTTTTGCTACTCCCTGTTGAGGGTCATGCCTCAGCAGAACTTCTACCTTAAAGCTAGGGATCCATCCATGTACCTTGTAACTCACCTCCCTGACTCGGACAAAGGGTATAAGGATGACCTTTTGATCTTCAGTGAATCTTGGGAGCGGGGGACCGATCCCAAGTACGATGGTCTAAGGTGCCCTCTTGAATGAAGGACGACAAGTATGTCGGCTTCTTCGAGTCCAATTTTTTTACTGTTCTTGGGATATTTTACAAGTGTTAATAACCTTCTTTCTTATGTAGACGTCTTCACTTAGGAAGTCGCTCCTCCTCTTCGGTACTTAGTAAACTTTGCCGACCTCATCACTGTTTGGAAGTTTGTCAGCGATGACGGGTAAGGCCGGGCCGCTCATCTTCTTCTAAACTACACAACAGGGTACAAAAAGTTTTCACAGCTCTCCCAACCTTTTGACCCTTCGCAGTAGTCTGAACTCTTCGATCAGACAGTGCAACAAGAGGCCGAGCAAAACTTGGAGGAAGACCCTGATAGGGCTACTGAGGCGCAAGTAGAGGGCACCCTCGAAGTTGAGGAGTTCGGGCCAGAGAGGCTTTTGTTCCTTCGCACGTTAAGGTGGGGACCTCAGGGAGAGATTTGTGATCTGACTTCAACATCCTCCAGTCCCTAGACCCAGAGGACGCCTTTAAGGTAGCCATGTCACACACGCTCCGCATAGACCTGGGTTTCCCGAGACAGAGGCAGGCCCTCGCTGTAGGGAGAGGACGGGGGTCAACCAACAGCGCCCTATCAATGGGGACCAGCGCCAACCCCCCACTTTCGAGGGCTGCTGGACGGGGTCAGGTGCGTGACCGAGATCCCCAAGTTGAGGAGGAGAGGAGGACTAAGCAAAGGCACGACGGCCTTGGTAAGGGATCCAGGACCCCCTCCGCTCAACAGCAAAGCAGGAGGGGTTGTAGGTTGCCCCTTCCACCTTAGTAGTAACAATAACAACAGAGACAACAGCAGCAGCAGAGACAGACTCCACTTCCCCTACCGCAGACGGTGGAAGCTGTGGAGTGGAACCCTCAGGCTATTGATCATATGAACCGGGTGATCAAGGTCAAAAATTCCATTTTGCAGGACCCCCATGTCACCAATGCAGTGAGCGAGACTCTCCACTTCGAGGCTAACAGGGGGTAAACAAATAAACACGTTGTTCCGTTCCATAATTCAGAATTNAGCGCCCTATCAATGGGGACCAGCGCCAACCCCCCACCTTCGAGGGCTGCTGGTCGGGGTCAGGTGCGTGACCGAGATCCCCAAGTTGAGGAGGAGAGGAGGACTAAGCAAAGGCACGACGGCCTTGGTAAGGGATCCAGGACCCCCTCCGCTCAACAGCAAAGCAGGAGGGGTTGTAGGTTGCCCCTTCCACCTTAGTAGTAACAATAACAGCAGAGACAACAGCAGCAGCAGAGACAGACTCCACTTCCCCTACCGCAGACGGTGGAAGCTGTGGAGTGGAACCCTCAGGCTATTGATCATATGAACCGGGTGATCAAGGTCAAAAATTCCATTTTGCAGGACCCCCATGTCACCAATGCAGTGAGCGAGACTCTCCACTTCGAGGCTAACAGGGGGTAAACAAATAAACACGTTGTTCCGTTCCATAATTCAGAATTTCCTAGTGGTAAGTTCATCTTTGGTTTAGCCTTTCCTCACTGTATCACCCACATATTGACCAAGTTCTTTCCCTTGCAAGCCACCCAACAAATTTTGATAATCGTTGCGCGATACCATGCAGCTAGGATGGACCTCCAATGGACCCAAGAGCAGAAGGAAGAGGTTGAAGGAGCCTTGGCCAGTGCTAAGGAGGACGTGGCTACCAGGGACTCCACCCTCGTGGGCCAGGCCACGCGGATTGAGCAACTGCTCAAGGACAGCGAATTGGTAAAGGTCGGTGCTGAAAAGCTAAGTGCCGCCTTGGCCGACGATGAGAGGAGG